ACACAAATACCTAGCCATTTGCTAAGTGACCTTGGGTCTGGATTCATCCCACCTCATTTGAAGTTCAACTGCCCAAGTGCCAGGCCAGGTCCTGTTTATTGAAAGCCATGTTTAAAGGGGGTGCTTAGGTGGGTCTGACTGTCCTTTGGGGATGCTGCTCCTCACTGAAGTAGAGGCAGAGCTAGGGAAAGCTGTACATGTAGTGTAAAGTAAAGCATTAAGAAGTAGGTGAGGTGAATCCAGCGTGTAGACAGCTCACTCAGCTGCCTGCCATGAAAGCTGCCCATGTTAATAGCACATATAGGCTATATGCCCACTAAACCCAAACACATGCTCACTTGTAACAAGAGGAGAGGGTTAACAGGGCTTACCCACTCTGAAGAACAAATAAATTTATCACAAACCCTGAATGCAACTTTATCTTACATTCCACATGGAAACTAGCTGTTTTTGAACAGTTTTTGTATAGCTCAGTCTGGTGATCAAGCTGAATTCTGAACCAAGCTTCACCATGTTACAAAGAATACTTTGAGGGACAACACCGGTTACTAACCACTGAAAGCACTGTCTGTTGGAAAACGTAGTTTTAATAGATATTCTTCATCTTACAGAAGAGCACAATAAATACACCACATTCTATAGAAATTTCAGATGACACTGGAGCAAGAAGAGGTGAAAGAGGGAGAATACCAACAGACTACATAACCGTACCCCTGAATTGCATGACAAAACACTCCCTATGCAAACACTACAAGCTGTCATTTATACACGTCAGGTTGGCCTTGCCAAAAGCTTTTGAACATTTTTTCCTCCCTTTTTTTTGTGAGGAAGAAGGTCTGGGGAAAGGAAAGAGAATATGGATATAAGAAATTAAGGGAAGCAGCAAGATGGATGAAGGCCAAGAAAAATGCTGGACTCTCAGACAAGATGCACACACCAAAAACAAGGACGAGAAGGAAGTTTTTCATAACTTTCCTTCCCTTCAATAGGGAAGCTTTGCTACGATTTAAGCAGACTGATTGCTCAAGCAAGTAGCTTAATAAGGCTTGTAGAGAAAACCAGTGGTATGAGGCGCTAGCTGTAAGTGGTTAAACAAACATCAGTCACTACACAAGCTGGCCATAATGTGTTTCTACAGGCTGATAGTACATGTTAATAGAGGGCAGAATTCAGGAAGTTAGAAAACTGTGTAGCCTAACATCTGATGACAACCAGCAAAGAGAAGTTATGCAGATACTCACAATTAGCGCTGTCATCTGCTCCCAACCTCCTGCTTGATTATGGTTATTTCCACGAAAATGCATATCAACGCACTGCTATTATTATGGTTATAATGGTTACATCAGAGACTTGTTTCTAAAAGTCACTCCAAATTCAATTTCATATTAAATTGGCCAGGTAAGATCAGCCACATAACACAAGCTAATAAAAATCAGCCAGCAAACAGAAGCAAAAAGGAAAAAAATCTTGTGAATTCTCTTTCTTCTCTGTTTAATCTGTCAGACTGGTGAAAACAAATCGTAGTTCTGGTTTCCATCTTTGTTTAAATACGATGTCACATTAGAGAAATGAAAACACAGCAAAATAAACTGTACAACGGCCAAGTAGAATAACAAAAAATATTTTACTAAAACATAAGATTTACAGGAGATTTTCCAGACAAGCCATACAAAATGGTCACAAGCTTTTTCTTGGGGGGATTTTCTACACTTGACAGCAGAATCACAATATTATTAGTGAAGGTGATGGATGTTTAATGTTCCCATTTTTTTTCTGTTCAAACAATGAAGCTTGTCCATCTACAGCGTCTAAGTTAGACTGGGCTAGAGGGTATATTCTAAAGTATAACTGGTTAGCTGCTTTTACCAATGCAATTAGCATCACCATAAAAAGGGAGGAGGAGCCCACAAAATTAAGACGAAAAGCCCTGCAGCTAACCCTGCCTACCTTCATTCACAGTGCTTATACTTAAACCGTGATGGGAAAAATGATTAAAAGCAGAGATGTGCTGCTGCTTTCAAACAATTTCACAAAAATCCAGATGATAACTTCTAGCCTCTGCTCATGCGGTACAACAGTGAATCAGGACAAGACACAGATTTGCTAATGTGCATTTAATCACCAAAGGACTGAAGATGTCTGGGCTTTTATTCTGTAATGTTTCTAAGACTGTGTCCATTAAATGCAAACAAAAAGGAAGAGGTCTTGGCAGAACAGGAGAAGTGATGCACACTTGATGTTCAAAGCGCATTTAAATATTATTCATGGCATATAGCCTAGTCCATGCTCTGGCTGTAAAGAAAAGGAAACACATTTAAGAAAATACGTATTTTTAGGGCTCTATTAGAGTAACTAAATATTTCTTTTGAAAGATAACTTTATGCCACTGTTGCAAGTATGCAAAATATATCAGTTCTGAGATTTAAGTGCAATTTTGAACTCCAGCAGCTGACAATTCCTCATATTACAGAAGTGGCCTGACTGCACTGGATCCAGAAGTGGAAAGGCATAATGTAGTAAATCTTTCAGTCCATAACAGCACGCAACAGAAGCGGGTATGGAAGAGATGTACTTTCTGAAACCAGATACCTGTGCCTTAAGCTTTAGAGGAAAAGCAGTAGTGTATACTTTGCTTTACCACAACTCCAAATTAGACACGCCTGCAAGCTTAGCAACATGAACACTCAATGAAACAGATCAAGAGAGCTTTTCTTCTAGCAAGCACCACAGACTTGAAAACAGACCACTGTAGACACATTCAGGGCAGCTGGACTATGACAGTATGCAGTAATTATTCCTGCAAGTTGTGAACATAAAACAAGAGGTTGGTATTTACATCCCCCAACTGAGTAATCAGCTACTTCCTAAAACTAGACAGAAAAAAATGTAAGATACATCACCTGTTTCTATGGCTTGGGCTTCATTGGTCTTCCATTGCTCAGCTACATCATTTGCTAGTGGATCATCTGGATTGGGAGCGCTTAACAAAGCCTGGATTGATAGCAGGACTGTACGAATCTGCAAAGCTGGGGACCATTTATCTGAAGAGACATTTACAGCAGTGTGAAACACCATATTCACCGCAGACTACAGCAAAAGCAAGCTTTCCTCTCCCAGATTAAAGAATAAGCAAGGTATTCTTTTAACATACGAAATCTCTTTTCAGGGCCCATTTACAGGTTTCTGTACTTAATAAAATCAGAAGAAAGAAAACAAGGTAGCACTTACCTTTCAAAATATCTAAACATATTCTTCCCAGCTTGTCTACATTAGGATGATAAATTTTGGTCATGAAACGTACTTTAGGAGCTGCCATTGGATATTCTTCTGGAAGGAATAGTTCAAGTTTAAATGTCCCACCCTCAAAGGGGGAATCCTGTGGACCTGCAATGACCACATGGAAATAACGTGCGTTGCTTTCATCTGGCTCTGCTTTTATCCCAGGGACTGGCTCTGCCAGCAAGCGCTGGGTTTCCTAGAAAAAAAAGAAGAGGAGGCAATGTAACAAATACAATTGATTTAAAATAAATGCAACCTGTACAAACTATTTCAAAACAACGAGTATTCATTATGAGCTATTTGCCTACAGCCACAGAAACAATGTTAGATAGATACCTTAAAGTCAAAGAACATCTGCAGAAAGATAAGAATGTGGTAAACTGGTACGCAACTCCTTTCAGACCCCTCACAGCACGTGCTTCTATAGCACAAGCTAGCAGGTAACGAAGTGTTCTCAAATTTCATGACTTTTGATTAAACTACTGCCAAGCTGCTATTTGTTTTTAATATACCACAATGAAAATACCATTTCCCATTTTATCTTAAAGAGAAAATCGCATTATGTGAGAAGTCAAAGAAGGGGTTAATCACTCACAGAAAGTGTTCGAGGTTTACTCTAACAAGTTTATTACGATGAACATTTGCACTGGAATTAGATCCAGGCTTTGAGGAATTTCACGTACTGCTCTGCTGCAACACTTAACGGTGTTTTTAAGGATGTGTTACATATTTACACATATGTATGCATAAATAGCCTACAGAGAACTGTATTCTTTGTGGTCCTTTCTTTAGCCTACAGCACAAACCCTGCCTCAGACACCACACTATGCCCATAGTTAAGAGCTGCCCACATTCTGACCATCCATCCCACTAATGCACTGAGTGGACAGACTGACCAAGTCCTGTGCACCTTCCCTCTCCTGTGCTGCCAGCCTTCTCAAGTATTCTAGGCACCATTCTACTTCTCCTTATAAAAAAGGAACGTGAGGCCAAAATGGGCAAGAGGACATTAGGCAGGGACAAGAAATCCTGCCGAAGCCTCATTTCCTCAGGTAATTTTAGCCCCATTTCCTGCCCTTCCTCTAGCTTGTTTTTACTACATACAGTTAATCTTTTCACCATCTCTGTGTTGGCTTTCACAATGTAAAATTATCCTAGTTCTATTGACAGAAAATGGTAACTGGTAGGTATATTATTATTCTAGTTTTATCATGTATTTATTTTGTGTCTATAAATAGCATTAACACAAAACCAAGTGGACTGATTACTTGGCTTAATCCGTTCTTCAAACATAACAGGAGTGTTACAATACTGACATCTTGCAGAAATAAATCTACACAGCATTTAAGTGATACAGCTGCCTTAATGCAGTTAAGTAACACATCACTTTAGAAAAAAATAAAGAAGTGCAGTCACAGTAATTAATGCCAAAATCCAGTTATTTGTCTCAAAAAAATCAAAGTCCTACAAATCATAACACTGAAGTTATTACTATGTACACACACAAACATAAAAATACATTATCTGGTCTAATTCCTTGTCATGACTACATATATCCCACTTATCTGCACAGGCATTAGCTGTCAATGCCACTTACACACCTTACTGGAAGGCCATCCAAACTTCTTAGAGCCGTCTACGCTCACTTCAGCAAGCTTATTTTAAATGATACACAAATTTATAACGTACTCAGAACTTCTATTCTGCTAGCTATTTACCTGTACAGTAATTCTCTAGAAAAGCAGCTATAATGAACGCTTAAAGCTTTAGTTCAGTAGCGTGAAAGTAAAACTATACATGATGCCTGTACGTGCATAAAACATCCCTTATTTCTTCCAGCAAGTTTTCAGTGTGGGCGCTGCCACAGGTAAGTGTGACAATTTGGACTGCCACCTCTGAAGCAGTTTGACAGTTTTGGCAGACAAAACAATGCCTTACAGAAAAGGCAAACTAATACATCCAGCCTACTTCAAATTTTAGAAGAACGAACTTCATGAAAAGATCCAATTTTTAAACTTCTTCACAGCTGCTACCACTTGTACTTTGCCAGATCCCCAATTTGTCTACTTGTGTGGTTTGGGGCCTTATGGGCCTGCTCAGATTTAAAACTATTATTATTTTTAAATATTAAGGATAACACATTTTAATAGCTGGCCTGATCTCAGCAGTCCCTAACCTCCACTCAGCCACTCTGGTCTCCAGACTGCCTCTCTAGTTATACCAGTGTGCATACAGTATGCTGACTGTAACCATAGTGGGCAGCCAATCCTGGCTTAAAATAACCTGGAATCAGCAGTTGTCTGGCAGCAGCATCAGCACTTCTACCTGCCAGCATAACTGACAGAGCAATGCCTGGCTGCAAACTGCACATTCTGCCACTAATAACCATTTCCCAGTAAACAATGGGAGAGCCCACGTATGAGAAAAACGATCCTTTTAATGGAGGTACTGCATTACACTGAAGGGGCTATACCGCTGCTAGTATGTCATCACGTTCACACAGCCCTTTATGCCTCTATATCATGTGGACGTGGTAATCTTGCTATAAAACACCACAGAAAAGGGGAGAGCAAAGAAAAGCATTTCTGCTGCATACAGCTACACTAGTGCTGAGGCTGCTTCTAAAAGTCCCCTGTGGAACATCACTACTACATTAAAAACACTTTAAGCAATCATGCCTGTCCTGGGTTCAGCAGTAGCAGTCACTAGTGGTGCAGTGCAGTGTTTTGACTTTCAGCTTCTGATAGTGATGTTTAGGTTTGGCCAAGGACTTTGTGAGCCTCATGTTCTGCCAGGGAACATCACACCTGACCCAAACTGACATTAAAAACATGCCCAGGATGTAACTGGGAGTGAGCCGGAAGGGCCGGAGACTGCAGGGTTGGAGGAGGTATCGGTCAGAGCTTGGTCAGGCTGGGGGGGCGAGTTATCGGTTGGCTGGTGGTGAGATGATGTATTCTCTTCCCTTGTTATTTCCTTTATCATTATTATCATTGGTGGTAGCAGTAGTGATTTGTGTTATACCTTAGTTACTAAACTGTTCTTATCTCAACCCGTGGGAGTTGCATTCTTTTCGAAGGGGGAGGGCAGAAAGGGGGGGAAGTGAGGAGGGTTTAAACCACGACAGTTCCTGCACTGTGCATGGAGCTCCACCACTATCGACATAATTGAAGCTGTTTTCAAGCAGAGATGAGGAGGAATACTTGCAAGAAATCTGAGGTAACTGGTCAACTCTCATCTCTCATAGCCACCAAGCTCTGATGAAGCCACCATGCCAAGAGAGCAAGCATCAGGCTAAACTTCTGACACACACAAAATGACAGGTTGTGACTCCTATGAACATACATCACTACCGTTTTACACAAAAGCTGAGAAGCATCTTAGGTTCAGAAAAGGCATCTTTTTAGAACACTGACAAGCTTGTTAGACTACAAAAAAAACCACAAGAAAGATGCCATTTATTAAAAGAGCATGAAATGTTTGTACTTAAATACATCAACACCACCTGCTAAATTCTGACAGCAAATAAGGCTTTTGCCCTTCAATTATGAAGATATTTATAATAATCTCTTCAAATACATTTTGGGGGAAACAATGGAAATGGAACAGGAAGGGAAAAATTAACCAAAAAGTTACATTTTAAGGTCCAAGCATGTAAAACGCTTAAACATACAAGTAAGTCCAGTTCTAAGGTAATATCAGGAACTTGACTTTCACGTTTTACAGTAAGATGGCCAGTTAAAGACAACCAATTTGTTTTGACATAAGACTTGGAGACGTAAGCCATATTTGAGAGAAACAGTTATCAGTACGCAGGGATGGGGCCGTCAGCAACATGGTCCTGTGGAAGGTGTCCCTGCCCACAGTAGGAGGTTGGAACTAGATGACCTTTAACATTCCTTCCAACACAAACCAGTCTGCAATGATGAAGTTTTAAGTGTACATTCACACACACACAAAAACACATCAAAAAACCACCCTGTAAGTGTCACCCACAAGATGTGGACTCAACCTACAAACAAGGAAAAGTTCAACTATATGTTGATCTTCTGCTGTAATTTTATATTACTTTCCCCAGTTTTTTAGCTGAGTAAGTTTTGTGCGAACTGTTACTTGCCCCTCTCCTCCCCAAAACTGCCTTTGAACCCTTTGTCCAATTTCAACTTTTCTGTACGTTTTGTAAGCTGTCAGTGGCCAAGACAGAAACCAAGCTCACTGCCACTGAAGAGAAACACATGAAGAACTCTCATATTACATGCTGTTTGGCCAGTTTATTCCACCTAAGTATGTACTATTCCTGCCTGGCAACAAAACCCCAAAAAATTGCCAGTAAAAAGAGCTGGGACACACAGATATTAACATGCCATAAAGGAAAAAGGACAGATTCACAGAAAAACAGGTTCTGAAGTACTGCTGCTCACAGTAAATATTTTTACAATAGAGCAGTTAGTTTTGTTTTCATGGGAATGCAAACTTCCATCAAATAAGTGTTGCAGAACAGCACTTTAACAGTGTTTCTTGCTAGCTCTCCCCTAGCATAATCAAGGTTCACAGAAGAGATTTCAGGACACATTTTGAGCTCTAAAGCATTTAACGAAGTATCCCATGGTGCTGTAGGCAGTTAATTCTATCTGTCAGACTCTGCAGTGTTTTTAGATTGAGATCTCTTCTTGCTCTTGCTTGTACTTCACTTTTTCCATGATTTCCATTGACTAAAGAAAATTAATAAACCCAAAATAACCCAAAAGATACAGTCAGTTCTTAAAACCAAAACAACACACTGTCATTCACAACTGATTATGCCCCCCCAATTTTATTTTTCTTATTTTATTTAAGTGGTTAAAAACCACAGAAGTGTTGAAGGTGTTTTGACAAGCAAAGCAAAGCTTTCCCTATTAACACAGGTGGCTCGAAGTAGAATGACAGATGATACGGATGGGACAGATGGTGTAGCTGACATTCTGCATAGCTATGCTCTATAAAGACATTAAATTGAAAACTAATTGTACCGGGGGGGGGGGAAGAAACCCTCAACCTGCTTTTACAGTAACCTGTGAAGAGAAGAAGGCTCAGGAAGAGAGAGTGCCATGATCTTTAGAAGAGGCCAACAGAGCAGACAGTGGGAGTGAGGGTTTTTCAGGTTGCCAAGACTGAGGGAAGCTACACAAACACAAGAGAAGAATTTGCAGCAGGATATGTTTCATTCTTTGAGCTTTTGTTTGGTTATCCTGCTTTCAGTGGAAGGGAAAAAGAAGTTACTGAAAAGCAGACATAACCACCAGGATTCTTCTGGTCTATATACAGGACAGAGCCCTTCTTTAAGTGAGCTGAACAACCTTGAAGATGCTTCCATACAGACATGCACAAATATCGGTTGCTAGCACACACAAAGACATGAAGAAGCATACAAAGAATGAATCTATTAGAAATAACACTACTATTTTAACCACCTTCAGTCTTGCAGAAGTGTTTCTGAAAGCCTGAAAAAAGGTACTTCAGAAGCCTTCCTTGCTATCAACAGACTAAGACAGGATCAAACACTGACATACTGGCAAATAACTACAATTAGAAAGTTCAAGTATGCAAGTGCTTGCAAAAAGACCCCTCAAACATCACTTCTTATATAGCAGAGCCACTGCAGCTGAACTGTCTAAAGCTTCACCTGCCTGACAGAAATTACTCCAGTAGCAAGGGAAGAAATTGCTGCATGGGATTAGACAATTTTAAAAGCTTCTTCATTGCTTTTTAGAAAGCATATTCTTTGCTTGGAAAAATAGTTGCAAGCCCATTCCCTGTACTATGGTAACAGTTAATCACCACAGATTTCACAATGCCTTCCAAGGGATACAGCTAAAAAAAGGTAGGAACAAATCAATATTTATCACCTACAAAATACAGGAACTTTAAGGCTACTGCATGGAGGCCACCAGGATTTGAGAAAGAAGTTTGCTTGCAAAGTCAGCTCAAACTAGCTCAAAAAAGAAATCCAAGCTCCATGTCTTCAGCCAAATTTGCTTTGCTTAGTAATTCAGCTGTCTGCCTGCTTAATTTCCTTAAAACCCTGTTTTCTTATTTCATATTCAATATTACCGCTATGCAGTTAGCTTCAATAAGTAAAAAAACCTGCATATCAATCCACAAGCCTTCAGTGATATGGTTAGCGATGAGAAGCTCAGCATGACCCAGCAGCGGCGCTAGCAGCCCAGAAAGCCATCCATACGCTGGGCTGCATCCAAAGGAGTGTGACCAGCAGGTCGAGGGAGGTGATTCTGACCCCTCTACTCTGCTCTCATGGGCCCCACCTGAAGTACTGTGTGCAGTTATGGGGTCCGCAGCACAAGAAGGACGTGGACCTGCTGGAGTGAGCCCAGAGGAGGCCATGAAGATGATCAGGGGGCTGGAGCACCTCTCCTATGAAGAAAGCCAGAAAAAGTTGGGCTTGTTCAGCCTGGAGAAGAGAAGGCTCAGGAAAGACCTTAAAACAAACCCTCAGCATTTTAATCTGATAAATGAACAGCCCCTGGGGAAGGAAGAAAAGAGCCGTGCTGCCTTACAACTTCAGCCTATTACACACCTTCACTTTTGCCTGCATATCTGTGCCTCAACCTCATGGTGAAACACAGCATGCAGCTGATCTGGAAGAAGAAAAGAAAAAAAATCATGCAAAAGAGAAGAGTGCTAATGCAGTTCACCACATGTCCACACAAACAGCTGTGCTAGCAGAAAGGAGGGTGCAAACACATGTTGTCAGAAGAATGGGGGAACAGCCTGCTCGTTTGGGTTAAAGGGCTGTTTTGAGGAGTTGAGCCTGCAGCGTTAATCACAGCCAGAGACTAGTGTAACAGATTACTGTTCTGTAACCAACCTAAAAAGGAAACTCAGAGGCTACCGCCTCATTCCAAAGGAAGAAGCTTAACTACCAACAGGGCTAATTTCAGTAACAGATGGCAAACTGCTAAATTAGTCTTCATCCATCTACAAAATTCTTCAACACTTGTTATAAACAGTTATCTAGAAACCTTTTATAGTGTTTAGACTACAGAAAAGCATCCCTGACTAGCAGCTTTATGCTAGTACCTTAAAAAAATAGAGAGATATCAGTAAGACTTTCTGAGGTCAACACAGCTGTGATAAAATTATTCTGAAACTTGAAAACAGAAAACATTAAGAAAGCCTCTTACACAAGGAGAAAATACTGCAGGCCTTAAGAGCTGTTAAATATTTTAAATGGCACAGTACCACATCTTTATGCAACGTCTCAGGGGAATGATTGCTTCCTTGCCATTTTCAGCAGCACAATTACAAGCTTAATTCTCTATGCAGTAGTCAAATTATTTACCTTCGACAATACCCAATAAGATGGAGGTTACCCTCGACAATTTTGTCAGGCTAAGGCAAGGTACAAGCTCTCTCTAATCTCCCCCAGACAGTGAAAGAATGCAGGTAATACCCACCTTTACCTGTAGGTTCAGCTAACCCTAGGTGCCTTTACTCTGAACGGATCAGGGAAGACGGATGATGGATGAATTATCTTTGTCTTAACAAGAACTTAAACTGCAACAGGAATTACAGCTCACCTCCCAGTGCTTCCTGTTGCCCCCTTGCCAGAAATCACCATTCTGCAAATCTCCTGAGAAAGTGAACCCTGCCAGCATTCTCAATTCAACTTAGGAAAAGTGAACTGGGCACTCTTAACTAGATCTTTAACCCCCAAAAGGCTGACTGATATCCACTGTCATCTAGCAGAGGACAGACAAAACCAGCTTCAATAAACCTGCCACAGGGCACAACTGAACCCATCAGCCAAGCTGGTGGCTCATCTAGGAAAATGCATTTAAGAAAAGACAGAAAATATCACACAGAGAATGGGGAGTGTGGGGGAGGACACTATGAGCAAAACTAGCATGGTCAGAGAAGGAGGGTAAGTGCTACAGGCACCACAGGAGATTCCCTGTAGCCCATGGAGAGGGCCATGCCGGAGCATGAGAAAAGCATGAGGAGGAGGGAACAGGAGAGAGAAGCTGTAATGGACAGACCACAAACCCCTATTTTCCATCCCCCTGCAACCATCAGGGACAGGTGAAGTACAGAGTTGGAAGTGATGGACTGAAGTTGAGTGCTGGAAAAGGTATTTTAATTTTGTTTGTTTTTCATCATCCAACTCTATTTTACTTGGCAATAACCAAATTCATTTTCCCCATGTCCAGTCTGTTTTGCCCATGAGGGTAATTGGTAAGTGTTCCCCCTATCTTTGTCTTGACCCATAAGTTTTTCCATCTTATTTTCTCCCCGTGCTTGGTTGAGGTACAGAGAGTGAGAGCATGGCTGGATGGGCATTTGGCCAAGCCACTACAGCATAATTCACAAGGCAACTTTTAATCTAAAATGTGTTTGAACTGTTGTACCCAGAAGCAGTTTTATAGAGGATGCCGTAGACAAACTCCACAGATGATACTGTAAATCAGAGTTTTTCAAAAAGAGATGACAGATTTAAAATGAAAGCACTAGCTCCATTTTCTGCTACAGTTGAAATGATAACACTTATCATTGGAGGGTACACACATACCAATTTATGTGGGAGATGCGATGAGAAAACAGGTATCTTTCAGTTTAACTGACTGTTCACCAGTCTCTTCAATATTTGCTTCCTCGGGGAGAGCAGGCATTTGCTGCCAAGTCCTCCAGGAAGACTTCTAAAGCAGATCAAAGTCACTAACAATAGCAAAAAGTGAAGATATTAAAAAAAAACAACAAAAAAGTTACACCTAATTTGCACTACGTTTTAGTCACTGAGAGTGGAAGTACTTTATCTCATTATTCATTGGCTTCAGCTATTGAGTTCACAATTGAGCCAAATGCTTTGGCTTCCACCACTTCAACCTGGTTTTCAGCCCTTCTTAATTTCACTCACATCTGTAACTACCTCCACCTCTCCTTTTCGTCAAAGGCAAGGGTTTGCCAGAATGGGAAGCTCTGACTTCCCAGCAGCAGTGCTAATTTGTACAGTCACAGTCCCATGCACCCCTTCCATCAGCCCAAGTGTCTGCTAAGTCAAATAACAAACAAGATCACAGAACTGATCTGGCTTAAGAAATAACCTTTACTGCAGAGTTCTGAGTCAAATCAGCCCCTCAGAACAAGTTTAACACAGAGGCACAAAACCTTTTGATAGAGTAAGGCTGCTCACCATGAACCACAGGCCAATCACCTTGAGAAATTGTGGTTAATCTAACTTAACCAGACAGTACCTTTTCCACCTTGTGCTGGCTCCCTACAAAAAACAAAGACGTAAAATACCAACTTTAACATTTCAATTCAGACTACATACAGCAGACATTTGCTTTATATTCTTGCCAGCTGCTGGTGCTGTTATCTTCCAACTACAGCTAATAGTTTGGATTAATTTGGGGGTATGAAATAGAAACTGAAGGGTTTAGCTGCATACTGGCACACAGACAAGTTATAATTACTTGCCAAATGGCAACTCTCTGCTGTTCTGTCAGAGTGGGATAAGGGGGGGGAAAAACCACACTGATCTCCTCCACCAAGAACTGATAAGTTGCACACAAGAAGGTAAGCTGCATGTATGTTTTCACTTTGATTTCTGAGGGGGAGGCAGTAGGAGAAAGTGAAATATATCAGTCAAAACTGTCTCCTACATATAGGGATAAAGATGCTTCAGAAAACCACAAAGACTTAATTAAAAAACTTTTTACAACAGTGCATCACATTCTGGCACAAATTCTTTCAGGGTCTATCAATTCATTAGCTACAGTTATGTAAAGAACTGGCTATAACCAGCATTACTGAAAATAAATTGGTTACCTAAGCAGATGTATATTGTCAGAGAGATTTCAGCATGTTTAGGTTAAAATTATACCACTTTAAAACGACTACACTGGGGAAAATCTTCTGTAAAAAATGTCTGCCTTTTAGGAAAAAAAAAAAAAAAAGAATTAGCAATAAGGCCCATTAAAGTGTACAGCAAAGGTCAAACATAATGAATAGAAGGCTGCACTTGTGGCTTCCAGTAGCTGGCCTCCACATGAATTCTTGCCTTCTTTGCCATATAATCCCTAAGTGTCAGCACCCCACATGGCTCCACTTCCTGGACTTGTTACTGGGTTAACATCTCTGTGCACTAATGCTTTCTTCACCCTGCAGATTCCAGACCCCATTATTGGCCCTGACTGTATCTACCCCCACCCACCTCACAAAGCAATTTCATGCTCTGAGGGTCAATGTATCAAAGGCATCAGCTGTAAAAAAGCAAGAATAGAACAGCAATACATTAGATTTAGAAACCATTAACTAGCACTTGATCTACGAAAAACTATCCAGCAACCTGAAACTACAGCTCCGCTAAGCAACCACTGTGAACTCTGAATCTCTCACAATCTTCCCTCATACACTTCTGGTTTCCCAGTTGCCATCACCACTGCGAAGTCACTCAGAACAAGATAAAGACAAATGTATTCCAGGTAACTGCACCTTCCCAGAAAACAAATATATAATAAATAAACAAAACCAGAATCCACCCATTCTTGGAAGACAACCCTGTTGCCAAACAGCAGTAACATGAAGAGAGGCATTTTTAAGGTCAGCATCACTCTCCCCCGAGAATGACCTTGATCTCAAATTTTCCATAGCAGATTACAGAATTTTGGAACAGTGAAGCTGAGATCCTATGCAAATTCCTATCGGATTATCTATGTACTAGCACAGATCCAGCTTTTCATGGTGCATCTGCAGCTACAGTAAAGTTAGGCATAACTAAATTCACTAAGCTAATAGTGTAAACCATCCCTGTAGTCATGCTGATACAGCACATTTGCATTAGTCTTGCATTAGTCTTGCATTAACATAACAGTGTCAAAGTCTGGTTAAAGCGAACAGTAATTCATACAAAGCTTCCAAATGTCCAGATACCATCTGCATTGGATTTCTGCAGCAAGGTTTTGGTAGCAGGAGTCTACAGGGGTGGCTTCTGTGAGAACCTGCCAGAAGCTTCTCCCATGCCCAACAGAGCCAATGCCAGTGGTTTCAAGATCCACAATGGGCCAAGGCTGAGCCCGTCAGTGATGGTAGTAGCACCTCTGGGATAACACAGTTAAGGAAGGAGCAGGTGGAACTGTGTGGCAGCAGCTGAAGAGAGGAGTGAGACATGGGAGAGCAACAGCTCTGCAGACACCAAGGTCAGTGCAGAAGGAGAGAAGGCGCTCCAGGCACCACAGCAGAGATTCATTCCCCTGCAGTCCATGGTGCAGCCCATGGTGAGGCAGGCTGCACCCCTGCAGCACATGGAGGTCCATGGTGGAGCAGATCTCTACCTGCAGCCCCTGGAGGACCCCACACGGGAGCAGGGGGATGTCCAAAGGAGGCTGTGACCCTGTGGGATGCCCGTGTTGGAGCAGGATCCTGGCAGGAACTGTGGCCACATGGAGAGAGGAGCACACACCGGCACAGGTTTGCTGCAGGATGGGTGACCCCACAGGGGATCCAGGCTGGAACAATCTGCTCCTGAAGAACTGTACCCCATGGAAGGGACCCACACTGGAAGTCTGTGAAGAACTGCAGCCTGTGGGAAGGACTCATGCTGAGAAGTTTATGGAGGACTGTCTCCCATGAGAGGGACCCCATGCTGGAGCCGGGGATGAGTGTGAGGAGTCCTCCCTAGGAGGAAGGAGCAGCAGAGACAGCATGTGATGAACGGCAACCCCTATTCCCAGTGTCCCCCATGAAGCACAGGGGGAAGGGAAAAGAAGAGAATTCATGAGTACAGTTGAGCCCAGGAACAAGGGAGGGGTGGGAAGAAGGTGTTTTAAGATTCAGTTTTTATTTTCTCATTATCCTACTCTGATTTGATTTGTAATAAATTTAACTAATTTCCCCAAGTCTAGTCTGGTTTGCCCGTGGTGGTAACGGGTGAGTGATCTCTCTCTGTGTCCTTGTGTTGACCCTTTCATTGTACGCTCTTCCCCCTTTGCAGCTGAGGAGCAGAATGATAGAGCACCTGGTGTCCTGCCAGGGTCAACCCACCACATCATCTATAGCAAAATTTGTCTCTTCTGTTAACCCACCAGTCACATGTAACTATGAAACACTGGATTTGTTTTGTACTGTACAAAGCAAACCTTTATTATATACCATACTTGTCTGATACACTTCCATGGCTTCCAGTGTAAAACAACTGCATGCAAAGCAATAAAAACCTGTTAGCATCAGTCTTAGAAAGCTTGGGGTACTACAGATTTGTACTACCTCAACGTTACTCAAGTATTATACCAGAAGGTGGTCCAGCAACAGGAACTTTTGTGTTTAGTTGGATTATTTCCTTGTTTTTCCCCAGTTTTGATTCTCTAGTGTCTACTGAAAGCTTCTTTAAGAAAAAGGCTGTAGAAAGTTAGTTATCAGTGTCCTCTTTAAGATATTTTATTAAGACTCCATGTTTTTCCTTTTAAAACTGGTACCTTGACCTACCCTTGGAAGTTTTCTTATCCTCTGGGCCTAGGCCTTCTGCTCAGCCTCCCTCCGACACCTCCACAAAGGATGTGTCCTACCAAACTTCAGGCTTCCAGCACCTGCCTATATACCCCTCCCACTACCACAACCAACCTATGCTGTACTAGTTGCCCTACAAAAAGACTCAATGAGGGTCACAAAGTAGCATATCCATTATCTTCCCACCTTCCTACATTGTTGGGGAGACAGAGGGAAGATGCTTTTAGAAGAATAGTACAAAAAAAATCCTCTGAAAATCCATTAAATTTTCACCCATCTGTCAAATTCAAAGTTATCCGTAAGATTCAAAAAGCATGCAAGGGACAAAAAGCCATTATAAATAAAGAGCTTCTCTGACAAATACCAAGGAACAGCACTGTCCAGAAGGAACATTTTCCATGCGTAACCACCATTCAAACAAACATACCATATCACAAAAAGGTATTAAGTTTACCTCCAGTCTTTTTTATTTTACTTTTTATTCAGGAAATAAAAAAAATGGCCAGAAATAGCAGAGAAATCAATAAAGCAATGGTGACTTTCATACTCATGTAGACAGACGTCCATTCCCCAGAAGTCCATAGCTTCCAAGACAAAGTAAGAATCTTCAAGTTGGCTGCAGTAATACTGTATAAGAACTTCTAGAAAGTTTCCGGAGTTGCAGGTTAAATACCCGATTTGTATTTTAAAAAAGATATAAAGCTGGTTATACTGACCTCTAATACAGAATGCTGTAGGTGCCTATCATGACATATACCATAAGACTCTCCATGATTTTTCTCCCTGGAATCTTACATTTTGAGGTAGCATTTTGTAACTCAGCAGTCCAAATGTTATCCAGATTCTCAACAAAAAAAATAAAAAAAAAAATACAGCAAGCAGGAGCTCACTAGGAGGATTGTGGAAATAGCTGCTTACAGGAAACAGCAAGGAAGGAACATCTCGGCCAGCAACACACTACCGTGCAGGGGAGGAAATCAAAGCCTCAGTAATTCAACATTGATAAATTCATTAATAAAGAAAAAAAATGTTTTTGAAGGAGTCTTACATACTGCTTCAGATGGTTGCTTCATAATAGCAGCTGCAGTGACTGTAACAGAAGTGCTACTAACAACTGGCTACACAGCCAACACGTAGACCTGGACATCAAATCATGAATGATGAGATCATTGCAGCAGTGAAAACAGCAGAAGAAAAACACATTTGAGAAGATGACATGAGGCAGCATTGCCCGTCCCATTCAGATCTACCAACTGCACTTGACACAGCAATGAGGTAGATTGAATGTCAGCCAAGAGAAAAAAAAAGAAAAAAAAAAAAAAAATCAGATGCAATTCAATTCCTGGAGCTACGTGACTTTGCAACACTGGAGAGAATTGGTGTAGTAAGTGCCTGAAAGTAAAAACCATTGGCTTATTTCTTGTGTATATTGCAAAGGCTTATTTTTTAATACTGGAAATACTTTTTAATAGTAGGAAAAAAGTTTACAGCATCAAATGCACACATCTATGTCAATGTGTTGTACCACATTTTTATTTTATCTTACATTAGCAGATTTTGTTTTCAAGGTGATTCGCAGGTGACCCCTGGGTTTGGGCTACTGAAGCAAATAAAAATACCTCTTCTCCGTTTCACAAGAGAGAAGGTTTTCCAATTCTGATTATATCTTTAAAGATCCAAAACTGTATCATCATTTTCTACTTGCCATTTGCGATGCGCTAACATGAAGTCATAAATCTAAAGCAAGTCATCTCTTGAGCTTACAGATCATTCCCCCCACACACACACTCATTTAAAGTCTGTGTTTCCAAGTAAACTGAGGACAGCAAACCAGGAGTAATTCTGTATCTTCTGCAACAACTGCTTTGCAACATCTCTGCTGTCACCTTTTAATTGAATTTGGGGAAAGTATTGGAAATCTAGAGCTCTCTGCTGAGACAAGGAAAGCTACTCCTCTCCCACTGGGCTAGATGACAGCCTGCACATAGCAAAGAAGCAGGCTGAAGAGTACAGGGACTCTAGTCAACCTGAGAGCCAGGCCATCTGCCAGCAGTCGGTCAAGATGAGGAACGCCAACTGCATTTTGAGCGGTTAGCTAGATTCTGGACTTCATTACAGTCCAAACATGCACTCCTAGCTCCACCAGTCATCAACAGTCTCCCTCAGATGGCAACACAAAGGGTGCATGTGGGCCAAAGGGAGAAGGTGTTTTCCCAGCTGTAACCTAAGCCATTTATTTATCATCAAATCATTATTATGCATAAAGAAAATCAGATCCTGTTACTGGAGTTACTTCACCTTTCTGTAACTCTTTCCTCTCTTCCATTTCCTTCCCTGATCTTTCAAATTCTCACTAGCAGCAACACATCCTTCCCTCCAAGGCAACCAGCGAGAGGAAATTTAACTCAAGACTGGCAAGATGGAAAAGGTCAGAACAATTCTCACTCGAGACTCCTGAGGACTCAAGCAGCATTATTTCTAGGTCTGCACCTCTGCAGCTGCAATATTTCAAAATATGACTTTGCACATTCTTGAGGCTCTAAGGGTTTAGGCAGATTCAAGCCCTGGACTACATGCACATATGGCAACCTAACCTATTCACAGCATAGGAACTAAAGAACTGGTCCTCTAACACAAAAAATCCAAGACTTAAAAGCTCTGGACTGGCTGCAGACAACCTATAATGCATAGGTGGAAACACACAACCTCCCATACACACCACCCTGTAACAGATAATAACCCCCAAAACTCCAAGGGGGGGGTCCTCTAGAGGAAATCTGTAATTTCCAGGTCTCTCCACGTCCCCTTTCCTGCTGGATAGGGGACATTCCCATTCCATCGCACATCTTTGATATGAGTCATGTGCAAATTGTTCCATTTCGTTTTTCTAGAAAAACATAAAAAAAACAGCAGCACCAAGAAGGGAATTAATGCACCAGCTCACAAGTGGGTGCTCTCCTTGGTTTCGTTCAGAGGAGTTGTCAAGAGCTATTAAAATTTAACACAGGCACCAGGCTCATGACTGAGCTCTTACCACAGCTCTGTGATGAATACCAGTTCCACTGTATTATGAATCAGTGCTCTTTCTCACACCTGAGATATCAGCAGGATGAGTGTTCAACTCATTCTACAGGATTTGTCTTTGTTATTTTTACTGCTTACAATTCTGAACAAGAATCAGTTTAATTTGTTTCACACAAGATAAATGCTACTCCTGCTTTATTTTTACCTCATCTCCTCTATGACCTATTAGATAACACGATTTTAGAGAAAAACAGTTTTATTTTTCATCCACTTTTTAACATATCCTACACTCAAGCATTTTACAGTGG